GATGTTTTAAATCAGGTTGGGTCCGGATTAGCCAGCAGGTGAGGTCTGAGCCAAGATGGCCGCTCTGTCTGCATGTCTCTCGATGATCTATGGAAGCCTATGGAGGAACCGGTCAGCGCATGGAATATTCTGGGAGGATTCTGGGAATGTCTCTGTGCAGGACAGTCTGTCCACAGAGCTGCAGTCCATGGCTACCATGACAACCACTGTCCTTTCTGGAGATTTTCCACTTCGCTTCCTGCAGCAGCTCACATCCAAATAAGGATAAGTGGCTGAAAGCTAGCAGCCGAGCCCAGTGGGACTACAGGTGGACTACATTTCCCAGCTCAGACCTACCTGGAAGATGAGCACTTTAAAGTTGTTCCTGCTGACCAGGTGGGCGTGGTTTGCCTCCAGCCTCTTCACCTGGGCACCTTGACGCTCCATCCTCTCGCGGACCTGAGGAGAAAGGACATGAGGTCCCTGAGCACAGTCTGACAGGCGTCTAGCAGACCAGCTCAGAGGCAGGAGGATCCCTCAGAGGCAGGTTAAAGGTTAAAGGTCATGATGGGATAAGTGGGTGGGGGAGAAAGAGAAGAGCAGTTCGTCTGGGAAAACCAAACACGCCACATGTCAAGCTAGCATGCTAGTGTCAAAGGTCAGAGGGCGCCTGTCCCTCAGCTGAAGTTTGGTCCAATGCAGCTCAGTAACAGAACCATGATCCCAAACCCCACAGCTGGTCTGAGACAGACGGCCTAGTCAAAGTTCAGACCTGCTGCTGGACCTTCAGCTAGCTGAGGGGAACTATACAGAACCCCGGCTGAAAGCTCTGAACATCTGGCAGGGCTTCCAGGTGTGGTGATGCCTTCACTGACCTCCTTCATGGTCACGGACAACTTTCGGCTCTTGTCCAGCAGCTTGCTGACCGTGTTGGAGGTGTGGCTGTGACTCTTGGACAGTCTGGTCATGTCTGCCTGGATCCCTCGGACCACGTCCTCCATCTGGACCTGGTGAACCTGAAACACAAGCAGTCACCTGTCAGTAGCAGAACCAGATCCCTAAAAGCTGTTTGACCCGGTTAGAGGCCTCTCTGGGTCAGTCAGAACCACTGATAGCTGATGAACATCCAGTCTGACAGAAGGTCCACCACTTAGATCCGGTTCCAGTTGGATCCGGTTCCAGTTGGATCCGTTTCAAGTTGGATTGGGTTCCAGTTGGATCCGGTTCCAGTTGGACCCGTTTCAAGTTGG